AATGACGGTACAGAAAGATGTAGACAAATCCCCCGTTACATGGAGTATCCCACAACTCCTGTTTCAGATAATGATGCAGCTGATTAACGACAGGAAAAATTCCGATGGGCTAAAACCCCATATAGGGGGACCCCATTTGAGATTCAAGGCCGCGCCTGCTTCTTCAGAATCACGTTCTGTGGAAGCTCACTGGCTATGGTGGTCAGCGTCAGATCATCACTGGAAAAAGGGAAATTGCAGAAGAGGAGAGGTTTGCTCTGAGGTAAAATTGCAGAAGTGATGAACTCTCTCCCTCTCTCTCTCTCTCTCTCTCTGGATTTTCTCTCTCTTACTCCTTCTGGCTTTCAATCGGTTTGAATTGGGCTGCGTAAAGCGGGCCCGCCCATGCCCAATTATCTGGGCTCGTCTCCCCAGCAATCAGCGGAGCACTTACACAAATTTGGGGCTGGGGAAAATTAATTTGTAAATATAGCAATTTCTTTTAATTTTTCGTGCGCCTATTTAGATATTTTTACGTAATACTATATTTACATTTATCATAGATAGACTATTTTCACAATCTCTGAATAAGTGATTGTGACATATCAAGTTGTATACGCAGCCGAATAGAAAGTGAAAGTTATATAATTATTGGTCTACAATTTCAATTCTACTAATATAGTATATCAGTATAAATTAAATATGAAATAAGCATGCAAAAAGAGAACGACGCTGATGAAAAATAAAAATTAGATAACCACTGTAATTTTTATAATGATAGGTTATACCAGTGATATATCAAATATTAAATAAGTAAGGCATATAAAAAACTGGTATCAAACTAGCATYACACATRATCACTAATTATATCATTTTTATTCTATTTATATGATATATAATAATAGACCAAATAACAATTTAACTTAAAAAAAAGAACACGGATAAAAACCAAAGTTACATGATCGCTGATTTACCATTTTAATTCTATTGATATGGTACATACACAAAATATTGAATAAGCATGCATAGATATTAAAAGAACATTGGTGAAAATGAAAGTTAAAAAATTATTTATATATCATTTTCATTCTATTAGAACATATTAGTTATACATGTCCATCGTGTCTATCACCCATAGATTCTTATTCGCGATAGACTTGTATCACTTGTAAGGCTATCATTGTTAATATATATTGATGGGCTTTTTCGACCTTTCATACACTTTTATCTAGGTTGGACTTGAAATAGTGYTACATTTGCGGATTTTTTAACTTGTGCTAGATTTCCAATTGTTTTCGGCCAAATTGCTATATATGCAATTGCTCTAAATTTTAATTAAATGTTATTAAATAAAGTTAATTACAAATTTCATTTACCTATTTTGAATATTTTTACAAGTTCCATAATCATCGGCGCGARCATAGCTTAACCAGTCAAGACATTACTTCCTTCCTTAAAGGTTTCGTTTCAATTCTCTCGTTCATTTCTTTAAACTCAACGAGGAAAACAAATGTCTTTAACTAACCATTTGAACCATGTTTGTATTGGCTATATAATTTTAACATTATATCTATTTAGTTTATAAATTTTATGAAATTTGAGTTACATCTCTAGAATTTAATTTATGTTGTTTTCCAGTTTTTTACCATTAATATCAATTGGCCTATCTTAGCTTAGCATTTCATCCGAAGGAATTTAGATAAGATAATATGATCTAGCCACCAATTGAACATGCTACAAATGAATTGTTTGATTGAGTTGGAGTTGGGACGGTTTTGGCCGACGGAGATAAAGTTAGGGTYGTGGTTTAATGACTGGTTTATATTTCTTTTATCAGGTGATAACTCATCCAATRGATTTGTTACAGTTAAGGATAACGACACTCCAAGTACCGATATGATATTGTCTGTTTTGGACGTTACCTTATTTTTTTTTCACCAAAAAAATCTCATACCAATGGACATAATTGTCCTCTTACTTATATATATCATAAATCGATTCCTTTTTTATGAGATTTTGTTTGCATTCCTTATAACCCCAACAAATTCTCCCCTCCAACTCTCGAACAAAGTGCCACTTGTATCTTGCTTCAGAATACTCATGCACTCATCTGCTCCCTAATACGAGAGCCTGATTTGTGACTCTCGACCGACAATGAGAGTCTACTTTTATCCAACATGTCCAGATAAAACACTGCTACATAGAAGGCAGAAGTGAAAATCGATTGGACTACTTTTTCTATCAATCTCCACGACTTGATAAATCGTCTTACTCGCCTTCGAGAAATTTTTGTTTGACTTGAGGATTCATCCATAGTTTTCATAAATTTTTTTAATGACTATAAGACTCACTAATTACTCTTGTTCAGCATTTGAGGATTTCTCCCACACAGCTAAGTTTTTTACCATAGCTTTGATACCACTTGTTAAGGACAATAACATCCCAAGTATCTCAACAATAGTATAATATTTGATACAAAAGATCTCATACTAATAGAGATAATTGTGCTCACCTATACCATATAGATCACTTCCTTCACTGACCAATGTGAAACTTTGTTTGCATTTCTTTTGCAACCTCAACCGTTACATCATATGCTAATTTTTCATCTAATATCTTATCATGTAGGCATTCTATCAACCAACTTTAATAACATTGACTAAAATCAAGACAAGTAGCCAACTTAAGTACAGTTCAACAGGTTAAGTTGTCTATGTCCGACTAAAAGGTCATAAATTTGAATTCACACCCCCACATATTGTACTAAAGAAAAAGTCAAGACAACTATATAGACTTTTTAGACGCTTCGAAAGAAAAACACGCCATCTACAAATTACATGGATAAAGTTCATAATTTAACCATGAAATAATGATAAAATAGTTAACAATCTACAACGTTCAATATAAACATGAACTAGACTGATGCTAACAGCCCGAAGTGGTCATCAATGGACAAGTTTTCTCTCTTCATATTATAAACAAAGAAGAGGCAAATCTCAAATGCTAATCCACCAAACATACAACACTGATAAATTGCACATCTCACAAGTTTAGACGCAGGAAAATCTAGGAATACTTATAGATCTTTGAGTGCAACTGCAGATGTGGCTGCCACCACTGATGAATGCCATGGGCTTGTTTAAATTCCTGTGCAGGAGCTAAATTTACTGTCAAGCTTGCTGAAGGAATGAGGTGCAGCGGCTCTGATTCCCGCCCGATTGCATTCAGCAAAAGGCCTCCAATCGAGTTCTGGGTTGCTAATCTCTCGATGCTTCCTGCACCGATCTCTTCCATGTTCTTCCTGTGCTCGAAATATCCAATGTATTCTGATCCTATATGGTCTGATGGATTAACAAATAGAGATGGAACCCATGCTGCAATGGCAAAAAATGGTTCCTCGGTTCGATTTCTCTGGTTATTATTACTGGCCTTCAAAGCAAAAGCAAGTCCTGCTGTGATAACGCTGCCAGCAATCCGTATGCCATGTTTCAATTTCTTGTCCTTGATTCTCTCGATTGGTGCAGCAAAGAATGGTGGGTTAAAGAGATATGATTCGAGGAAAATGCCGGTTCTCGCCATGGTTTTTCCAGCAAGCATTGCCATGGCTGACCCCAGGGAATGGCCAGCTAACCAGATATTTGAATCACCAACAGTAGCAACCATGTTCCTGACCACTTGCATCGCGATCTCGAAACGCGATGTTCGATGCAGTCCATTTTGCATGAAGTGGAGATCTAACTCTATATCACGAGAGACAGAATCTGGTCTGGTCAGGGTGCCTCGGAAGGCAATCACATATCGTGGACTACCATCTATTTTGTGGTCGCCTTGAAGCAGCACGGGTTTGAATTCATAAATAGCACCAAATATGGAAGAATCAACATCGTCAACAAGCTGACGAAACAACCGAAAGTGGCAGAATTCCCACCAGCGGGGAGCTAACGCATCAGAACCTTGACGTTTCTCCTGACGATCGCGTTCTAATATGTAGACACCTTGTACCAAACAAGCAGCAACTGACCTTCTGTGATCGGCATTCTCCCTACAGTCAGTCATAACGTTATTGTCTACTCCACCAGACTGATGTAAAATCATTGTTAACTCCATAAAACATTATTAAGAACAACATCACAACAACTTGGTTCATGTACAAATTGCTAATGCTGGAAATAAATAAGCGATTGTTCAAGTCATAATCAAATGAACGGACTCCCAGAAATCTGAACTCAATCACTAAAAGCTTTTCATGTGATAGTAGTAAAAATTGAACTTCTAGGAATTTGTTCTTACCAGTCAACAGGAGTTAGGTGTAATGGCCCTGAAAGTTCAAAAACTTCCCTTTCGGAGGCCATTACACTTGATATCCTCTCCTTTCCTCTTGAAACCCTTAAAAGTTGCTGTACACCAAGCGAGGAAAGTTTAGAAAATTATTAGAATGTGACTTGTAGCTGTTTCATAAATTGTATAACCATGCAACAAAAGGATAGTGTAACAATCAAAAGTTTATTCACGAAAAGCAATCGAAAGTTCGTTCACCAAAAGCATAATTACATTACAGAAGTTAAAAGCCTTCTCTTTTCACAGACAAAGAAGAGTGATCCTTTGACCAAAATATTAAGTTTAAATTTAGGGCAAAATTCTTTTTTTTTTGGGTTCGGTGCTTATTTGGTCCATAAGGTTTCAAAAAGAACACTTTTAGTTCTTGAGGTTTGAAAAAGTATTATAAATGGTACTTGAGCTCATTTGCCATCAGTGGACTAAGGGTGAGATGATGTGACTTTGCTGATTCGGTAAAATATATTAGTTTAATAATATTTTTTTAGTGACTAGACTTTCTCTCTCCTTTCCTCTTCTTCTTCCTTTCCTCCTCCCCTCCCCCGACGAACCTCACCGCTAGCCATCATCACCTGAAGTCCTCAACATCACAATCTTTCTAGAATGAGGAACATTTAGATCTAGAACGAGGAATAGGTCTTCATTCCAGTCGAAGGAGAACGTTCCTCATTTCTAGATCTAGAATGAGGAACTCTCGTTTCAATTGAACGATGAACTGTTCCTCATACTAGAACCCCCATTCCTCATTTCAGATGTGAAGGGGGACTTCGTTCCTCATTCCAAATAGATCGTGAACGTTTTCACCATGGACTTCCAACAACGTCAACGCAACCAATAAGGAGGGAGACGACAGACAACTGTGAGGCCTATCAGAGGAGGGGAGGTGAAGAGGGAGAAGGAGAGGGAAAACTAACGATCAAATGAGCTCATTACTGTTAGTCAACTAACAATCAAATGCGCTCAAAGATCATCTAAACATTTTCTCAAATCTCAAAGATTAAAAGTGTCCATTTTGAAACCTTAGAGACCAAGTAGGCACCAACTTCAATCCTCAGTGCCCAAAAGTATATCTTAAATTTATAAGTCCTAAAAAATTAGTTAAATTACTAGTTTGGTTCTCACTTCCATGGTTGTGTGGTAAGTCTTTGTATTGAAAAGGCTTTTTTTAAGATCTTTGAACTTTAAGTGTTGTCCTTAGTCTCCGCATTACCTCCATTAATTGACATAGTATTATGATTGTAATATAATCTCAAAGATTAAAAGTGTCTATTTTGAAAGCTTAGAGACCAAGTAGGCACCAACTTCAATCCTCAGTGTCCAAAAATATATCTTAATTTTATAAGTCCTAAAAAATTAGTTAAATTACTAGTTTGGTCCTCACTTCCATGGTTGTGTGGTAAGTCTTTGTATTTGAAAAGTTTTTTTTTAAAGATCTTTGAACTTTAAGTGTTGTCCCTAGTCTCCGCATTACCTCCGTCAATTAACGATTACATAGTATTATGATTGTAATATTACGTAGACATGATTTCAGATAAATTTAGGTCTTTGGCAATGTAAGAAAAATCTTTAAAAAATTAAGAACAGTGACCTACTAGATACAAAATTGAAAGTTTGAAACATTTAACCGGCAAAAGTACTAAGACTAGATAAGATATCTTTTAATACATGAACCTATTTTTAAAAAGTTTTCAAAGAGCTAGGAATTATTAGACACACTCCTGAGAATTCAAACACAAATTTTGTAATTTTAACCCCAAAAATTCAAGCGACATTTTGTCCTTTAGCTTCTTGGCATCTTGTAAAAAAGATAAGGTATCTCCCGAAAACTACCAGACGATTGAATATTTAAACAACGAAAGCAGAAAATCAAACACACTAATTAAAAATACTTGGCCATTGAATCTGGAATTCTCATTTAACAACAATGTAACACTTATTTCGCTCTCTTTATTTTCATTTAAACAAACTACTTGTTTTTCTGAGATAATTTCGGGGACTTCACGCTCGAGAGTTTAGAACAGAAATTGCAGAAATCCAAGACAAGAAGATCTATCAAAACTAACTGCTAAATCCGCTATTACCAGTGCTGTAAGAAGAAGGATGTTCAAGGAAAAAGAGATCAACAACTTTAATTCTCAAACACGCAAATAATCTTCAATAAACAAACGGCATTTCAAAAACCACTGCGGATCTGAATCAAAATGTGGTTTGGTACAAAATCAACACGGCATTTCAAATCGCAACCAAAAAAAAAAAAAGATTGAAACGAGACGCCTACCACGAAACGACTTTGCACGGAGAAAAATCCGATGGAGAGAAGGCTCGGAAATTACCTCTAGGCGGACGCTTGAAGAACGCCTCGTTTGGTGACTGCAAGTTATTCGGAATCTGAAGCCATTGATTTTTTAAGCGACAAGACCATTGACATGCGCAGGGAGAAACAAGGTACCGCCGATTAATTTGGGTGGTTTTTTCTTTTTCGATTTTTTATTTGCTTTATATACGTAATTTTTTTTCGATTAATTGGATGGGTTTTTCTTTTTCGTTTTTTCTGTTTGCTTTATATATGTTTTTTTTTTTACTTCTTTATAATTTGACAAAATAGCCCGAGAAAATATTTATTAAATAAAATAATTTTTACAACTTTAGAGATAAATGTCTTAACCACTCGAGCTATGCTCGGTTTGACATAATTTTGTCAACCTAAACATAGCAATTGATTCAATCAAGATACTTATTTTCAACTAAAAATTCAAATTCAAATTTCCACTCCTACATGTTGTTTTCAAAAACAAAATAAAATAAAAAAAGATATATACTCTCACATGTATACACCCACTTTAGCCCTTCTCAATAAAAAGTCAAAAATACAAATTTACACTCTCACATATTGTTCAACTAAAAAAAGCAAGTGACGTTGTTTTCTAACGGATTTAGAGTTTTCTTTAATTTACGTAATAAACATATTTTTTAGTTCAATAACACATAAAATGAAGATTTGAATATCTTATCTTTTAGTCAAAGATATATATCTTAATCAATTTAATTATTTTCAGTTTACTGTAGCAACTTATTAGATTTGTCCCATTGAAAATGTTCAATGTGACATGACATTCAATTAAATGCAATATAAAATTGTAATTTTGTAAGGAAAAATCATTTCCACCTCTGGATTTAGCTCATTAAAGGTATGTTTTTTACCCCTATTTGGAACCTTTAATTTTTGGAGGGATTTCAAATAATTTCACGCTTTTGGATAAATAAATAAAAAATAAAAACTAAACGATTTCAAATTCTGTTTTTGGTTCACATATTTTATGTTCTCAATGGGTCGAATTTGTGTAGATTTTAAGTTTAAAAACTATAACTTCTTGATTAACGTATCATCAACCAACCTAGTTTCAAATTTTGATACGTGGTTTGTCGTTTTCGATGAAAAATCAGATAAGTTCGCTTAATATTTTTAGTAAACATAAACATAATATTTCAATTAAGTGTAAATATCTTATGAAAAATGTGTCCAAATAAAGTAACTAAAGGCCTTATATATGTGTGTTCTCATCTCCATTAAGTCACCGAAAAAAATTCCTTCCACCCTATTCCCGCTTAAGTTGAAATTTCCTGCCTTGTTTAGATGTGGGTTTCCATGGGGCTTTTGGACCTTTCAAAAAAAAAAGGTTGATTTCGAGTATTTTGTTAGGAATAATATTTGGACGTTGGCACATATTTTTACGTGATCACCACGCTTAGCATCTCTTAATCTCTTCGTGTTTTGAAAAATAGAAAGGTTGTCTCTTTTTCTACATTTTTTTCTCTTCGAGTTATCGAAATTTTAAGACGGTCCTTCTTAGATTCTTGTCATATAATTTAGGTGTAAATATCTTTCTATTTGACACCATAAAAAAATTGATAGATATTTATTCTAGTTTCTATCTCTTTCTTCATGCATTCATGTCTTTTAATTATCCAAACGGTTTAGTTTACTATGAAAATTTCTAGTACCTTATGAGAGCTCTCTTCTATCATTTGTTTCAGCTCCTCTGATAACAAGCTCAAGAATGATGTCGACGGATCTATTGTAATAATGGAATAAATTGTCTCCAAATCTGTATGGAGAGAGGAGTGGTTGTTGTTGGTAGGGCATTGTTGATGGCTCCGCCGACGACCAATGGTGGTTTCATCAGAGGAAGGGAAGAAGAAGGAGGTAAAAGGATGCAAAGCCAATTTAATTGCCGCATCATATTACAATTGGTTAACTAATGGTCGGGATCCAAACTATTTTTCATACTTACTAAAACTGTTCTCTTTTGAAATAGACACTAACCTCAGACTTTAGATACCAAAAATATTTTCCATATAAATTAACAACTTTACTATATGAAAAGTTATCATAATGGTTAAATTTAATAGGTGAAAATGAAAAAGGTTGACTATAATATAAATGTTGCATCTATTAATTTTTTATACTTGAGTTGACAGGTAGATAACTAACTCTCGAGACATTACTTACCTCTTTAAAGTTGGACGTTCAAATTCTCTCCTTTCTTATTATTTGAACTTAAAATAAAATTTAAAAAATCTAGTAAACCAAACTTTTTAAATACAAATACTAGGTAGATACAACCACAAAAGTTTAGAAAAAAACTTATAATTTAACCTCTTCACTTCTCTATCTCTCTCTCTCTCTCTTCTTTTTTTTTGCTTGGGTAGTTACTGAAAATAGATCTTTTAACTTGTCGTTTTT